ACTTAATTACTGTTTATCTTATTTTCCTTGTTTTTCTGACACATAAAGCTGACTGCCTATTTTCCATGAAAAAATAGCAGGTGGAAGAATTCAACACAGACTAAAAAATGTTTTAGCACTGAATTTGAAAATTCCAAAACCTTATTTTAACTTTTTTTCTTAACTTTTACCAAACAATATTGATTTAAAGTTCTTATGCAAAACAAGAGTTACAGATATACTAGCATATTACTGAAGAGAGATAATGTGAAAATGTATAATTGGAAAAGTTCTATTCTATCTTCTTTCTTCATCATAGCAAACTGCTTCAGAATATCTTTTCTCATAATTTTAGAATAGTCTTATAAATTAATTTTTTAAGCAATTTTTTTCTAAAATAATTATTTAAAATTGTTGTTCTATAGTTGACCTTTAAAAAAAAAAAAAGTAGGGATAGCTGAATAGTTTAATTATTTTATAATTTGGGGGATTTATCATTACATACATTTAAGGAGGACACGTTACAAAGTTACCAAGAACTTAGTAAAAATGTTACACGAAGAAAACATCTAAAATGAGAAAAAAACCTTTCAATATAGAAATGACTGTCTTGAAACTGAAATTGATTCCAAAGATGAAATTGGTTTTATGCCAGGGAAAACAAAAAATAGTTTTTAAATGGCAATATTGGAAGTAAATTGCAGTATCGAAAGTACAACGGATGGTCCACAGCTCAAAAGGACTCTAACGTGTGGCACCGCCTGCCATCCCTTTGGTGTGGGAAGCCCTCAACCAGCCCAAAGTGCTGTGTGAGCATAATCAGAGCTGGGAGTTTAATGACAGAGAGCAGTTGGTTGTTTAATTATAAAGCTCCAAGGGTTCTGCCTGAATCCCTGTGAGAGCAATCAGAAGGTCCAACACAGCACTCAGCTCAGTGATCTCCAAGCATGGCAATCTTGGTATCTGTTCTCCAGTGCAGGAGCTTTTCTGTGACCTTGTTTCACACTTCATGTGAATGCATCACCTGGGGGTACTCCAGATTTTGGCAAAGCAGAACTTGGTTTTGCTTTCACCACCCCATTTTTTTACCTCCATTGGAAATATCCCTGCTACATTGAAAAGCAAAATAAAGTCCAACTGTATTTCCTTTTTTAGGAAAAAGGAACTGTTTCAAAGAATTTCCTCAGTAAACTACAGAATATGGTGCAAGACCTCTCACAAGTAATGTGTTTTTGTACTCCTTAACAGCAATCAGCTGTGTCAGGAGACACTTTTCATGGACTACCCTATAATTATGCTAAGGCTTTCAGCAAATGACAAATCCCAATTGGCTGGGCCAGAGCCCTGCCTTTCTAGACAAGGGTAATTTTGTCCACTCACCTGTTCATTCATTTTAGCAAGTCCTGACCTGTGGAATCATTGAGGTGAGTATTTACTGATCATTTTTATGCTTTTTAAATTTTTACTATTTTTAAATTCAAATCTCGCAGTGGGAAGCCAAAATCTGATAGGACTTTCCAGAAAGATTGTCAGGAGTCGTGAGGTGGAACAACCACTTACCTGTGTTACACACACTGAACTGTATGTGACACTATCAGCTGTTTATCTCTCAGTGTATTTTAACTTACTTTTTTAAATGCCAGTGACTCATTGAGCTATTACACACACAAAACAATTACTTATTAACTGCACATATATAGTTGTTGGAGGTATGGAGTAAAATCTGTCTCCAGAAAAACAAAATTGCCAAAACCTTATTTTAATTAAGTCTTGTTTCAAGCTTTTTAGGTTAAGTCCTTAGTCTAGATATTTTTTCTTAGGGGGTGGGAATAGGTTTCCTTTACAGGGGAGAGTATGCTAATAGGGATTTCTGTTTCTTTAGGAATCTAAATTTTATTGGAATAAACATATGCCTGGGAAAATTTAATATGAAGTTACTTCTCCAAAGTGAATGCTTCTAACTGGGGTGAAAGACACCTGCATGTTTTCAGCCTTTCTACTCAGGTAAATGATATGTTGCAGTGTAATAGTTATTTTTTACAAGAAGCCACAGGCAGGCAAGACAATCCACAAAATATCTGAGGCAAGAGGCTTGAGTCAGAGTTGCTTGTAAGCAGTGGAGCACATGCTGGGCAACCTCACACAGGTGAGGGCTGGCATGGATATGCACTAAAGCCTCCCAGGAGGGAAAATCTGAGAGGGAGTGAGGATGTGGGCAGGGAGAGCCAGGCTTGGCTGCCACACGCCGTCCAAGTCCCAGTTCGCTTTGGCAAGTGGTCCAAACTCACTCTCTCAACACTTTAGATATTAAGGTCTTTTAAAGACAATAGACATCATCGTGTTTCTCAGCTTTGCTGTTTAGTCAGTTTGTGAGGGTTTGCAGCTTGTCTCAGAAGAAGATGGGGTAGTGGGTCAGGTGTCCCGTAGAGAAAGCACCAACTTTGCCACCCTAATCAGTGGCAAACCCAGACAAAAAGAACTCATTTCCTCAGCTCAGAGCCACAGGCCCTTGCTTTCAGTTCCCGTGCTTAAATCCTTTTCCTTAGGCTTTCTCCAAGGGTTATGCTAATGTTCTTGCTCAGGCAAGCCCAACTGCGCTCCTTTCTTCTTTTCAGTTGAGCAGTTAATTCTCTGCATACCCGTTTCCCAAAACAATGCTCGATAATGCTAATGCCTCCTTAATAGATCACCGGTTTTCTGCATAGCTTTGTACTCACTTTTGTTTGGAGACTTTGACATCTGTTTACTCATCTTCCCACTTATCTCCAGGGATGGGTGGCAATTAGACCGGCTCCTCGGTATTAGTGGGTTTATCAAAATAACAAAAGGCTACGTGAGAGCTGTGAAGGAAAAGCAGGTGGAAAAGAACACAATACGAAAGAGAAATTACTCTTGAGACAAGGTTTATTTCTTTACTGCAGTTTCATATTTTGTCAAATTGTATTTATTTATATGTTATCGTGGGAGAAAGGAACATGGAATGAATTATAGTCTCAGGAGAGGAAGATTAAAAAGAGAGAGTCTTCAGGTATTGCACAAGAGAACCTGAAACTGCACACTGTGAATACATATGTTAATGTATAAACTGGTATGAGGTTTATAATACATATTTATTTCCACAAGTAATTCACTTTGAGGACATCTCCTCCTTCTACCCCCACCTACTGTTGCTCTAGCAACACACTCTATAGAGTGTGGCTACTGAACATACATGAACAATTTCATCCATGCCGGTTTCATTTACCCCAGGGGTGTTTCTGCTCCCTTATGTTTGAAAGGGAACGCCACTACCATCTTTCTTGAAAGTTCTATTTTTTCTAAAAAGGACAGCACAATTTTTTGACTCAGTTTCAGATACAGAATTGACTGCTGTGTTAATACTGCAATACTTCCCAGGATTATGCAAAAGCCTGTCCTGTTCTCTTCTCCAGAGCAATCTCACCTCTTCCAAAGGCACAGCTACTTTTGTAGACTGTAGATATTTTTACTTCTTTCATAAATCCTAGATTAGGGTAATAGTTTCTTTAAGGGGAAATATATTTTTAACACAGATGTGAAATGATACCTGCTTTGTATAGAGATGTACTTCAGTTATTTCTGTGCTGCATGTTAGCTTAGAAGGCAAGAATGTATATTTTTATGTTTGGTTCAGGTTCATTCAGTTGTATTCAGATACGATTTTCAAAATCATATTCATAAGGGTGATGATGATCATTACTAATAGTGGATTATAATCTTCTGTGTTATGTGCCACCTTTGATACTGTCTGTACATTTGTAGGTATAATATTGTCTTGTTTGGAAGAGCTCCCTGAGAAGATCTAGTCAAGTGCTTAGGAAGCCTGTTCTTGTACTGCAACGTGCACAGTGATCTACACTAGAGCCCTTTGTAAATATTGCTGTCCAAAAGAATTTAAAATTATGCTGGAATACAAGATGCTGCAGAAAATATGACACTGAGAATCTTAAGTGATATCCCTAGTGGGTGTTGGACCAGGTGACCTTTAAAGGTCCCTCCTAACTCAAACCATTCTATGACTACGAAAATTTAACTTCCTACTTCAAGAACTAGCGAGAACAAAGAAGAGGCTGAATAGATAAGCCCAAAGAATATTTGGTTTGGGCCTTTTGTTTGTGTTTTATTTTTTGAAGGCATCTAATTAGAATTATTTAAGAGGTTTCAGTGTAATACAGTGAAAAATATATTTGAATAAAAACAAAGCAAAGGAAAACTAGATGCTTTTAAAAACTGGGCTGTGATTTTCCCAGTATCCTAGGTTAGGATAGCAGTGGTGTAGTACAGTGATCCAAATATGCTTCCAGGTTTTTCTTGCCCTTAATTAGATATATTTAATACTCTATATTCATGGTAAATAGACAATTATATTTTAAAATTCTACCTTGACTGCTAATGCATTTTTCTTGCTATAGAAAATATGTTTACCTTGACTGCTAATGCATTTTTCTTGCTATAGAAAATATGTTTGGGCTTGTTTTGCTGCAAAATACTAGAGGTTCAGCAGACAGTGAATGTTTCCAGGGTAATCTTAGAGAGACAGAATACTTTACAAAGTCCCACATGATGGACTCCTTATTTTGTCCCTGATTCCTCTGCAATGGAAAGAATCATTACAAAATCCAACTTCTGCCAAATCTTTTTAATCATTACAAAATCCAACTTCTGCCAAATCTTTTTATACATAATACAGCAAAGGAAATTTTACCAAGTACTCTTGGGAATCTGTTCAGATAGGTTAAATGGCTAACTTGCTAAAAAACAAATCAGAACATCAATTAACAGGCTATTATACTAAGAATTTTTATAAAATTGAGAATTAGAACTTGCAAGAGAAAGAAAGAATGAAAAGTATAGAGATTTTAGTAAATACATGAAAGTAATTCTGGAACACAGCAGCAGTCATCATAAGACTACGAAAATAATTGGGTAAGCTTAGTAAAAATTTATAGTTTAACTAATTTAAATAAAATGAGTTAAAACCATATATTTAACTCATTTAGATAATTAAAAAGTTGTTTGACTACTTTTGCATAGGTTTTTTTTTAAGGAGGGTTGTCTACAGTGTGGATGCTCAGTTCCTGACCTTTACATCATGGGCATATTTTGATTTTTTTCCACAGGCAGCAGTCAGGAATGCTGGCAGATGTTTTTTAGGATTTTTTTGCAGGTCCTCGTGTACTCATTGCCCTGTGCTCAGAAATGGAACTCAGGAATGGGAGTAACCAATGATGAAAGAGATGATTTGGCAGTTCTTGATGATAAGGACAGCCACAGAACTGGGGTGTAGTTTGACAAGCATCTCTTAAATCAGACATGCTGACTAAACTAGCCAGTTTTGCTGGTTCATGTACCTAATTACAAAACCCCCTTCCCCTTCTCTGTATCATCTGAGGCATTTTCAACCTCAACACTTCATTACATGGCCTCATTAACAGTTGCCTCAGCCCAGCTGAGAAGAATCTACTGAAATGAGGGTGGAGTTTTGAAACCACCGTCCAGATGAGTGTTTGCCAAACTCTGACTTTACAGCGATGTAAAGCTTAATGCACTTGTAACAATGAGGCCACATCCTCTATGCAAATATCACCCTTCACAGGTTCAACCTGCCATCAGCTGTGGAGCACAGATGGTTCATACTTCCAGAGGTGGACTTTCCTTCTGTGGAGCTTTCTAGTCTTCACAAATGTTAATGTTATAATCACAACACCCATGTGTGTTTGAATTAGCTGAATGTCATTGCCTCTTCTTTAAGAAATGCAAAAATGTCCTAAATGGGGAATGCAATACAACTGCAATGTTATTCTTCCCTTTCTTCTGCGGCTGTTTTGTGACTCTGACACCTGTTTGTAACAAACAAACAGCCTCTAGCCAGAACATGCACCTCTGAAAAGAGCAGGAGGGTTTAATTTGAAGTTGCAACAGTAATACTGTCCCCTTCATCCAGAAGAAAGACCCCTCCAGAGCAGAATGGAAGGGAATGGGGCCATTTCCCACAGCAGCACCACTGGGGCACACAAGGACAGAACAGGACAGACGTCAGACACATTGACTGTTTTCCACTGATCTATAAAAATACATGTGTTGACCTCAGCCCTTTCCCAGAAGTGTGGGTTGAATTAATCCTGTTCAGAGAAATTGTGTATAGCTGTACCAGTGTTGTTGGTAACTTCACGAAATGCTTTGGATTCTCCTTCAGGTTTCTTCCAAGTTTAAATATGCTAACAATTAATTTAATATATACTTAGTCTGCTCCTCAGAAGTCTGTTCTATCTCTCCTTAGGACTTAATCAGTGCTGACCTTGTCACAGAAGCTAGAATTGAGTCCTTAGACATCTATACAACTTTACATTTTCATAACCTTCAGGTAAAGGAAAATTCAAAGCAATTCAAAAATTTTCCCACTGAGAACTTAAGTTACACTGTCTAATACCTTATTTTGTCTGTAACAAGAGTTATTTCTACACTGAAGTAGCTAGTGTTCATATGAAAACAAAAGAATAAGGAATAAATTCTTAATATTCTGGTCCTATTTGCATATTTGACCATATACCTTACATCACAGCCTCAGGCATTTAAAGACTTAAATGCAAAGACTTAAAGAGCTAGATTCTTCTGTCCCATAAAGAACTGCAGTTCTACATGCTGACTTCCATATCCATATTTTTTTTGGCATAGAGAAAAGACCAGCCAATTTTCACATATCTTTTTGTTGTTGTTGTTGTTGTTGTTATGCCATTAATTAATAACACTAATCATAGTGTTGACAAGGAAAGAAACAGCTAATAAGCACACGAGAAGTATGTAAACTGCAATCTAAAATGATAACTACATTGATGATCTTGGCAAAACAAGTGTTCTTACATGCTGTTGTTCAACAAGATGGCACAGTTGAGTAACACTCACCTTCTGCCTTAGAAGTCATGAAGAGCATGCCTGCTTTCATGTGTTCGAACTAAAACAGTGAAAGTGCAAAATTTTAAAGACTTTGGCTTGAAATTCCGTAAGTGTAACTAACACTATTAACACCAGAATATCAGATACTCTTATTATTTGCTGGCTTAAGTTTAATTAATGTTACCAGATCTGCCTTGACTAAGCAATGGCTAATTATATCAAGGCTGAATTTTCTCATGTCTAATTTTCATAAAAAGCCTCAAAACTGAATTCCTCTAATGTTTAGTGGCAGGTTTTGAACTTAAGCCAAACAGTATAACCAATGCTTTTTGATGCAATACACCATCCACTTCTGGGGCAACAAACATTGATTTATGTGAAGTTCAAGGGTATGTATAATACTTCTTTACCTTTTGTTTTCAGACTGCTTTGGTCAAGCAGAGTCCACATTTTCAGGGACATATGGCATGGCCCAAATCTATGACTGTGTAGTTACCAAAGCACAAGAGCACACTTGCACTTTCAACCATGCGTGTTTCTGCAGTCCAGTTTATGCTGTTAAAAGTGATGCAAAAGTGAATTAAGACAAGAAAATTAATATAATTTCCTGTAATGCTTAACCTTTACAAATGCCAGATTTGGGAAAATCTAAAGTTGAAGTTTTTCCCTAGACAAAAGGCACTTAGCTCCATCAATATGTACTTCCAGTCAGGAATTCCATGAACAATTAGTGTTAATATATTGTAAAGTAATTGACTTTTTGACAAGGAGAAAGACAGCTTTATGACTCAGCTCACTTAGGCTAACATCAAGGAGACTGACATTTATCAGAGCTGTCATTGTTAGGCTGGGATGAAGGCAATCCTTTTAACTGGAAACTATTACATGAAATAACCTGTTAACTCATACCCAGTAGAGTACATCACCGCAAGATACGGAGGAAAACCATTTCTCAACAATTATTTAAATTTAACTTTGCAAGATTAGCCAATAATAAATGACTTCTAGCTAAACTAGTAAATGTAATATTCAAACCAATGTTTTCCTCTTTTCCTTCACATCAAGTCAGCCCATCACTAAAATCCACTCATAATAAAACCTTAGAGGAACAAATAATAAAATTTGGGTTCTATAGTTTTCTGACTTCAATGGAGGCAAGAAATCTCTTATAATCAAAGCCAGAGAAACAGTAAAAGCTAAACTACTTCTACAGCTTCTTTCTGAGGCCTTCCACTTTCTTATGACAAAACCAATTACATAAAAGATCACTGTCCTGGCAAATGCTGGTGTGTATCAGCTGGTTATGTGTGAAAATTTATTTAATTTGAATAAGATGTATTTGTATAACTGGAAAAAGTATTTCTCCAGAATTTCAGTACAGAATTCTTTAAGTTTGTCCTGGAAGTCTCCATCTGTATTCTCTCAGTATGTGTCACTTAGGATAATGCAGGAGTCAGGAAGAGAGATGCTCTGGTGTACCTCATTGTTACAAACAGAAAAGGTGAAGGCTGGATCTTGCTTTAGTGATTAGGAGATGGTGGAATTCAGGATCTTGAAAAGAGGCAACAAAGGAAATGGCAAGATCATAACCACTGCCTTCAGGAAAACACATTTTGGCATCTAGAGCCATCATCTTGGAAGAATTCCTTAGGAGACAGCCCTGGGGTGAAGGGTCCACGAGCTGACTGATTTTTAAGAATGACCTTTTCCAAGCTCAAAAACCTCCACATACAGGAAACCAAGAAATAGTAGGATGAGCTCCTGGCAAAGCTCAGATATGAAAAGGAAGCACACATGAGGTACTAGCAGGACAAGTGAACATGAAACACTATCTGAGTTGTTTGCATGTGAAACATTAAGAAATTAAGAAAAGCATTAAGAAATTAAGAAAGCCAGAGCCCACTTGGAGTTGAATCTGGCAAGATGTGTGAAGGGCAACATGAAGGGCTTCCCCTGTTCTATAGAGGCAGCAGAAGACAAGGGCAAATGTGGGCCTAGTGCTGTGTGGGGTTGTCAGGAGATTCAGTAGCAAAGGACAAGCAGGGTCAGGAATATTTATGCAGACTGGTCATGCACAAATTTATGGGACATGATGGAATGTGCCTGCAAGGAGTGGTATGTGCTGTAGAAGCTACTGCTGTCATTGTAAGGTCATTCTTGATAATCTTTGAATAGGCACGGTGACTGGGGGAGGTTTCAAGGACTGGAAGAAAGCAAATGTAGCTCCTTTCTTAAAAAGGTTAAAAAAAGGAGATAAGAGGAACTATAGGCTGGTGAGACCAGCCTCACCCCAAACCCTGAGAGAGCAAATAATTCTGGAAACCATTTACATTAGGAAGAAGAATGTGATTGCAAGCAGTCAGCATGGATTAATAAAGAGGAAATTAGACCTGCCCAACCTGGTAGCCTTCTACAAAGAGATGACTGGCTTGATGGACAGGTGGAGAGCATTAGATACTGTTGATCTTGATTTTAGCAAGACTTTCAACATAGTCTCCTGTAATGTTCTCACTGATTAAGTACAAGGTAGATAACTAGACAGTGAAACTGAAAACTGGCTGAAGTGTCAGGCTCAAAGGGTTGTGATCAGTTCAGGATGTATAGCTGAAGGCTCACCACAATCCAGCTGGAAGCCTGTTTCTAGTAATGTACACTAAGGGTTCATACTCAGTTCAATACTATATAAATATATATATATCTTGATTAATTATCTGAACAATGGGGAAGAGTGCTCCTGTGGCAAGTTTACAGATCCTCCAGATTTGGGAGTGGTTGATATCCCACAGGGTCAAGCTGCTATTTAGAGGGACCTCCACCGACTGGAGAAAGAGGCTGACAGGAACCTCATGAAGTTCAATGTAAGAAAACATCAAGCCCTACACCTGGAGAGGAATAACCTCATGCACCAGTACAGGCTTGTGAGCTGAATGGCTGGAATAAAGTTGCAGAATAGACTCTACAAAGTTGACTGGATTGAGTAATGCATTCTTGCAGCTGTGAAGGCCTTTTGGGTGACACTAACAAGAGTATACACCACCAACATGTCAAGAAATGTGTTTATTCCTTCTATTTAGCACTGATGATGTGACATCTGGAGAGTGGGGTCCACCTCTGAGCTCTCCAGTACAATAAAGCAATGGTCATACTGGAGTAAATCTAGCAAATTGCTACAAAGATGAATAAGGGATTATAGCATTTGTCATATGAGGAGAGGCTGAGAGCCAAAATTGTTTAGCTTGGAGGAGAGATATTTTTTTTCCTGATGTCACCTCTGGGCAGCTGCAGGAAATGTATGCAGATTTGTTTCCTACAAGTTTCATCAAGCAGATGCCATGCAAATGAGATGCTGCTCTTAAAGCAATTTAGATGAGCAGAGACACACCTTTCCTGGTGATTGGATCTATGATCTAAGTCTACTGATTCTTGTCAGGGTTTCTCTAGTTATCACAACAGCAGCTGTGGAATGATGAAATATCTGCATCAACATTTAGATTTCAGTCCACTCACTGATTCTATACAAAGATTTGTAGATTCCACTCCTGGCTGAATTCAATACATACAAACTAAAATCTTCTTTGCTTTTTTTTAATCTGTCCTTAGAGATTTTACATTGTCAGCCACTCCATGGCCCACTCACGTTGACCCCTGTGTTTTTGTGTAACTCATATAACCCTCACATTCCCTATTGCCTCATCACAAGGCCTCTGTATGGACAGCCTCAGCTTTCCTAATGAACTGCATCCCTGGGCAGACTTTGACTCAGGGCCGCTTAATCGTACATCTCAAATAGCCTGAAATAACATATAGCTGGCTATATACCAAAGTGATACACAGGTGTTTGAGCCTGTTTTAGAGTCCTGGACAGAAGATAGAGTGCCTACAATATTTCAGATACCTCACTGACTTAAATAAGTATCCATCAATTGGTTTTTTGCCAGTGTAAAACAGTCCAGGTTTGTTTCGTATCTTCCTTTAAGGGCTCTGTAAAATAAACAAATGAAAGATTAGAACTTTATTTTGATGTAGATGAGAAATATTATATATGCATTGCTGTTGATTAAGAGAAGTCACTATGAAACTGCTCATTTTTACAGACATCAGTAACTGACACAATCAGGACTGCTTCTGAGCACACTCACTCTGATCTATTAGCCACTGAATAGTGTTCCACTGTCTGTTTTAAATCTAGGTTTTTTACATCTAATTTTTAAGTGTAAAACTGACAGTGGAATAGTACAGTTTATTTCTCTATGATTGTACATTGTTCTTTTCCTTCAAAGAGAAATTGCATTCAAGCATTACAATACATTAAAAATCAGAAATGGTATTTGTTTCAAGGTTAGGAATTAAATATTTATAATTTTTTACTTTACATTTGCTTCTTTTTCTGCATTAGGTCTGAGAAGTTGAAAAGTTTCCTGCAGCCTGAAATGACAGAGAGCCTTGTACAAAGGACACCCCTATTTTTAAACCCAAAAAATATTGCTTAATAGGTATTAATCTGAAGAAATATATTGTATGGTAAAGTTTTTCACAGACTACCAACATTCTGAGAACCCAGAGAGCATTTAATTTTTGTCTGAACAGAAGCACCTAATGTCAGTGCACATGCTACAATGGAAACTGTAAGACAAATACAAAGTTTTGGCATCTGTGTTACCTGTATGTATCCTGTAGCATCTGGTGTGGTGTTTGCCACTCTTCTAGTTTCTTGCTGCTCATCTCTGAACATAAGAGCTCGTCCACTTGTTTCTAATTCACCTTTCCTTTCTATCTGGAATGCTCCTACAGAACTTTGTACTGAAAGGACTGGAGTGCAGCTGGACATGAATTTTTTTCCTCTAATTGGAAGCACATTAAAGACATCCATTGGGCAAAACATCACTCTCTTCTATCCAGACAGGCTTGGCTACTACCCTTACAAAAATGAAATCACAGGAGAGGCATTCAATGGAGGACTTCCTCAACTCTCGCTGCTGGAGAAACATTTAAAAAAAGCCAAAGAGGACATCCAGTTCTACATTCCTTCAGATGAACAACTTGGATTGGCTGTCATTGACTGGGAAAACTGGAGACCTGTGTGGATAAGGAACTGGGGATCAAAAGATATTTATAGACAGGAATCCATTGAGCTAGTTCAGCAGAGAGATCTCAGTCTATCAGAAGCTGAAGCCAGAGCTATAGCTAAAATGGAATTTGAATTTGCAGCAAAATCATTTATGCTGGAAACTTTGAAGCTGGGCATAGAAACTAAACCAAATCGTCTGTGGGGATATTACCTTTATCCAGACTGTTATAACTATGATTACAAACAAAACCCACACAATTATACAGGAACCTGTTTAGATATTGAAATAGAAAGAAATAATGAACTTAACTGGTTGTGGGAGAAAAGCACAGCACTTTATCCATCTATCTATCTAGAGACAGCCTTAAAATCTTCCAGAAACGCTCAACTCTTTGTTCGCAACAGAGTTCAAGAAGCCATTAGAACGTCCCATGTCTCCAACTCTAGTCATCCCCTCCCAGTTTTTGTATATACACGTCCAGTATTCACAGATGTCTATGAGGAATATCTCTCTGAGGTGAGTGAAGCTAGACCTTAAGAAGTTCAATTTATATGGCAAGAAATTACCAGGTGACACTTATTTAGCAAATATACTATACTGCATCAGAAAGAAGTGTACAATTTTGCCTAAAATTTAAATTAATCCATCAAAGAAATTTGACCAAACAGAACACTAAGAGGTCTATTTTCAAACCTTTCTCATTTTATTTATCAGTGTTTCATGCTATGAGTTGTTCTCACATGTAACAAAATATCACAAAACTAGAAATCATATGTATCACACTTAGAGGAAAGAAATACGAGCAAAGTCTTGCAAAGAGAATTAGTAATACTGGGCTCACCCACTGCCTGCTTTTTAGGTTATAAGAAAAAAAATAAAAGTAAAATGGGGCCTTTCTTTCCTTAAAAAGTGTTTAAAGCTAGTGAGAAAATTCTGTCCTTAGCTGTACTCAAATAGCTTTTAAAATGGTATTTCAGGATGCCATGGGTTAGTTAAGGTTAGGCTCTAACTAAAATCCAATCATCTTATTGCAGTTCTGTCTATACTTTTCCTATCACATTTTTATAGACATCCACCCTATCAGAGATACCACCACTCTGGGGAATCTCTTCTTGGTGTTCCAGCCCATGAGGAAGGGGAAGTTAGAGTCCTGGTGATGCCGTTCTGTCTGGTGTCCTCCCACATTCTGGACAGAGCATTAGCAAGTGTTGTCCCCAGCCCTGTGGATACTTTCAGGGAGTAAGGGGTGCTCTCAGGGGCCCTGCTGGGATCCTAATGAATAACTGAAATCCTATAATCTTTACTTTTGTTGTTGTTGTTGTTGTCGTTGTGTCCTACAGTAACTTGTTTTTTTGTTGTTTTTTTTCACTATCATGGTCCTCTCCCATCCCATATAGGCCTTAGCATTTTGCTAGGACTGGGCTAATAGCTGACCCCAAAAGGAGAACTGAACAGAAACAAACTTCCCAAATAATTCTCTGGAAAAGAGGGATTCCTACAGTGGAAAGCTTTTTCTCCAGCCAGGAAGACAATGAAGCAAAATAAGCTTTAACATGGTTGGAGGAATGTATGTATGCCTAAGCACTGGCTTAGTTTTACAGCATTGTTCTTCTAACCTGATGGCATATATAAATTGGATATTGTTGGCAACATTTTCAGGTACCACCTGTGCAATCCAGGAAAAAATTGTGCAGTTGAGAATAGGACATTTGCATTGTGCATCATTGCTTGCTGTCTTCAAAGTAGTTATTTTGGACATGTCATTCACTATATGCTTTTTTTCATTTGCCATTATGTTATAGGTTACTTATATTTGTATGGTTCTTTGCATATTTTCGTTCAGGATGACCTGGTAAATACCATTGGAGAATCTGCTGCACTGGGTGCTTCTGGAATTGTGATCTGGGGTGATATGAATTTAACACAAAATAAGGTATACTAGATCAATTACATGTATTTTTTAAGGAGAAATAAAGTGAAAAAGATGTAAAGCATTATCAACACTTACATTGCATCTTCTACTTTTTTAAATAATGACTCCATATTTCCAGCAGATTTTTGTAGTCAAAACCCAAGTACATCTGAGGTTTATTAAGGTCATCATTGACTACACAGAACAAGAGTTTCAGTGTATCAGTACTGTTGACTCAGGGTAACTGGACAAGTTACTATGATAACCATAGGCATAGTTCTTGTTTAATTAGTATAAGAAAGAATTCCTATATCTTCATTTCATTTTAGTCATGAAGTAAAGAAAAAAATTACTTGGGCTTGCCAAGAAAAATTTTTGAAATACCCTTCTGCTTTTTGGTGTGGTAAACTTGGCAGTGAAAATACAACCCTAGCCTGTTCTGTGTGTTTTAAACTCTACTTTGATTAATTTCATTGTATGAAACATCTGAGTCAGAAGAAAAAAACTGTAGTTTGTTTTAGGAAGGGGAAATACATAGTTTGAGAAACTGTTACCAGGATGTTCTCACAATTCTTTCCAGGTAATTCATTCATAAGCAGGCAAGTTAGATTTAACAAACTATTGTACGGCAAGACTCTTGTGAAGCTTTCTGAGTGCAAAGAACCAAAACACTTCATCCCTGCTAGACCTCCTGTCACAGAAAACGTGGCCAAATACTCATCCACAGTTCTGTAAGGTTGCTATTCTCCAAAGCATCCCACTTTGACATTTTTTGTATGCACCTCCCTTTGAGGAAGGGTATCAGCTGCAGCTAGAACTTTTCAGCCCATTATCGCAGTATCAGAACACAGATGAGCAGCAACTTTTATTGTCTGAATTTTGAAATTCCTGTGGGGAAAAAAGAACTCTCCACAGCCCAATCAGACTATGTGTTTGTGCACTAATTGCACCTGACTTTTTACCGCTTTCACAGTCACTAGCGTTTCAGCAATGAAATATTACTGCAAGCCTAACTTCTGCCTCAACCAAAATTTCTTGGAAGTATTTTTATATATACCTAAAAGAAAACCAAAAAAACCTACATTCATCTTAGATTCACCAATATATCCGTGAGTATAAATATTAGACATATCTACATGTGGTATTGGGCAAATGCCCATAATGTCAGAAACAAAGAAAGAGTTCCCAAACTTTCTGGTTATTAAACTGTGCCATGAATGCACAGAACATATTTCAATTTCATGATCAGTTAGAACGATCAATTATCTTAGCATACCTTCAATTTGACCATCCAACCACCATTCTTTTCATTTAAAAATGCCAAGAAACCTCCCTGCCCTGTTGCCAAGTTATTCAGGTCAGGGGAAAGCTGAAAAGTCTCACAGAGATTACTTGATAGAAAAAGTATTTGTTTAGGCTGAAGAAGTGAGGTTTTTTCCTAGATCCATTCAAATTATTTAAGACTTAAAAAGGAACTTAAATTCTTCATGAAACTTCTTTGAATGCATCTGATTCAAAAAGCTACATAAAATAGAGAGATGAAATGAAAGCTTAAAGACAATTGCTTTCTGATCTAAGTGATTTTTGTAACATCTCCAGCAACTACACAACATAAATTTGCTGTGATTCTTGAATTTTATAACAGCTTCTCAGATAAACTTGCTTCCAACAGCAAGTTATAGCTATTATCAAACCCTCAGTGGAAACATTCATAGATATATACTGTGGTACTGTTATTAGAATTACAGCATTTTAATGGTTTCCATACTGAACTGTGGAGGTATAATGTTCTTTTCACAGAACACCTGTAGAACTCTGGACAACTACCTCAGGAGGACTCTGACCCCATACCTCATCAATGTCACAATGGCAACCAGAATATGTAGCCAAGTGCTATGCCAAGACTCTGGTGCTTGTGCACGGAAGAAATGGAATTCCAGTGACTATCTTCACTTGAATCCTGAGAATATTGCAATTCAAATGGAAAAAGATGGAAAATACACTTTACAAGGGCAACCATCATATCAGGATCTGCAAATGTTCATAGAAAAATTTGATTGCCATTGTTATGCAGGGCACAGCTGTGAACCTAGAGCTGATATAAATGACATCCATTACCTCCATGCTTGCATTTCAGAAGATATTTGCATTCAGATGTCCTCAAATTCACTTTCTAACATAGAAGACTCTGAAGAAAAGATCCTGTCTAACAGAACTGCATTTTCATTTACCTCTGAGAGTAAGGTGACATTATCTACACATCCTGAAATAGAAGATATCCAATCTACCTTTGGAAATAATATACTGAATATAACAACTGCAGAATATAACTCTGTTACAACTGCCAGTAGCCATGGTTTAGGAGAAAATGATACTCGTACTTTCAATAGTTCTTCATCCTATAAGATAAGGATGTTTAATCTGTTTCACTTAATTCTTCTTTTGAGAACCTTAATACAAATGACCCATGAAAGTGAGAATATCCTTTTCCCTGACTATATTTGAAATTCTAAAGGTTTTATTTACAAAACAAACAAATTCCTGAAAGGCTTATTGTCTTATCTGTATCAGGTAACCTTTTCTAATCCATAGGTGTCACTTCAACCTGAATGTATTTCTTCAGTTTAGTTCTATAAACTAATATTTGTGCCAAAGATATATTGGTCTATATATACTGACTATGCCATATGAGAGGATAATCCAGAATAAGAAACTTTATTACAGGTTACATTTTTAACCATTATACTTGGAAAAAA